TGGCCAGACTTCAGGGGTATCTGAGGCAGGCTTGAAACACAAGAGTCAGGGTGGCTTCTGGGTAATACCAGATGGCTAGGCCTCAGACTGACGAAGCCTCTTGGATGAGGGGCGAAACGTTTCTTTTTAACAAAAAAACGAAGTCCAGATGACATGATTCAACCTTTTTTGTTGTAATTACAGTAAAGTTTGAAGACAATGCAAAAGTCTAAATGGAATCATCTGTGTGATCCACTGTAAAGCCTTTTAAGGTTTAAGTTTGTACAAAACATTTTATTATTTGCTTTTCTTGCACCAGGCTTCGTGTTTTGCTTAATGACACTGTCACACGTGGAGACAATTGATCAAAATACCTACAAAAACATCCAGTCTACCCACTGAGCATGCGCCACAAAGACCATTAAACATGGCACGAGAATATGATTATATGCGTAGAAACCTCTTGTGGGATTTTACTCTCATTGGTGCCACAGATTTAGTAAATTCTTCTTTCCACCAGCAGGTGTCGCTAGTTCATCTCGTCTTCCCATCCCCGTGACAATGTTTACATTTCAGATTTACCCACAATCCTGTGCGGTGCTTGTTTAGATCCGACGGCTCGTTTTACACACAGTCTGCAGATCACAACCATCGCTGAATAAGGGTAATTTATTTACTGGCCCCGAGACCTTTAATTTAATTCAATTCAATTAAACAGCGAGACACAATTTGTATCACTTTATTAGCAAACATTACAATAAAGATGTGACAGGCTGTACGGTCGCAGTCCGCACTGAAATGTGCCGATAGACTCTAATGGTGGACTTTAGTAATCAAACACGACGCCGTACTTTGTTCACGGCTGTCGGCTGTACCCAATTTCGACTCGGAGCCATGTAATTGGTGTTCGTAGACTTGTTTACCATATTTGGCAAGCTAGCGACACAGAGCGCGTGGGAATTGGACGAGAGGGGCCGTCATTCACAAAAGTCAACCTTCTACAGCGTTACAAACAAAGCGCGGACTCATGGGATATGTAGTCCAAAACAAACGCTGTCCGAGACTCCTCCACTCGGAGTTTACCATCGTTCTGTGACGTCAGTGTCACGAATGTATCACATTTTCAGACACTTTCTTATTTCACGCGGCATTTTTGTTTCATAAATGCCAAAAGATTAATAAATAACCCACACTAGACGGCTAAATACAAACCGATCCCAGAACCCTCGTGTGCAGCATACAAATCCCACTGGCGGTGCTGTCACCTGATTGGCTGAGCGCATCTGTCAATCAAATAACGTCCTCCCCACTACCGCTGCCACAGTAAATATTTGTGTTTGCTCAACCGGCTGTAATGGTGGACGAGTGAGGCAGAGACACGGATTACAACTAGGGAGAAGAAAGAAAAGAAAAGAAGAAGAAAAACGGTCGAAAGTCTGCTTAGAGTCAGCAGCCGCGAGTGAAGACACGGGCTTCGTCGAAAATGGATGAACTCAAACATCAAGTCATGATTAACCAGTTCGTCCTGACGGCGGGTTGTGCGGCAGACCAAGCGAAGCAGCTTTTGCAAGCGGCACATTGGCAGTTCGAGGTAAAGCAGAAAAAAAGGGGGGGCGACAGTTTAATGTCGCCATGCTAACATTTAGCTTACAGCTAATGTTTGTGTGTGTTCGTTTGGTCTCGTGCCCGTCCTCCCCTGCTGCTCGCTGCGTTCGTCCCTCATTCATTCTTTGTACATTTTGTGCCTCAGCACCAAACAAAGCGACACGACCGAAACTGGGAGCACTTTAAAACTTTTATTTTACCAGTTACCTTGTATTTTCTGGGTTTAGCCGGAGAGTCAACGCGTTAGGAGTACACACTGTGACACAGAAGGGCAAAGCTTAACCAATTAGACTTCACCCCAGATTAAAAACTATAATCCGACACATGACGGACACGTACAGAGAGGAAATAACGATTCCTCCACACGAGCCCTTTGAATTATTATTGAGCCGAATGCACATTTGACTTGTTCATTCCTCGTTTTTGATATTCAAACGCGCGTATTTCGTAACGCAGCGATACTTAATATGGTCTTTTAAACATAAAACGATGTAACCTATTGTCTGTTTCCTTTTTAGACTGCGCTCAGTGCCTTTTTTCAAGAAACAAATATCCCATATGGCCATCATCATCATCAAATGGTGAGTGGGGATGTTTAAAACGCCTTCGAGTCATCAGATTATATCAAAACCTGTGCTTTATTATTTTTCAAGCTAGTCTCTTTATTGTTTTTTTTTTTTTTAAAGACCACCGTTGTTTTTGAGTATAAAGGAGGCGATAAGCAGTGCTTTGAGTCTGGGGGACACGATGTTGTGCTAACAATAACAAAGCACATGTCGGCCATGTTGTGAGCTTCCAGAAATAAACAGAGCCAGGCATGCAGCAGAGACTGTGTACATTCAGAGGTGGCAGGATTCCCAGGTTATTTTACACTCATAAACATCTCGTACTATGACCAAACTATACACACTTAAAACCCGTTTTTGTTTTTTTTATGTAGCTAAAACGACAAAGAAATTTAAAAGTTTAAATACTTTTCTTCAGTGTTTATGTGAGTGTGTGTTAATGTAAGGTACAGATTGTTCTCTTGGACTTTTACCCCCAACCGACAAGGCGAGAGCAGGCTGAGAGAGCTCGAGCTTAATTTCACACATTTAAGATACAAACACGTTTTAACTAACACCGTTTATTATTATTTTCAGAGGACATTTGCCTTTTTTTTTTTCCCTGTAGCTTTGAGAACAATCATTGGTAACTGCTGTTATTGTGGGCAATAAATGAACTAGTCTGTGCTTTCTGTTTGCAGAGTTATTGTGCAAACAGAAAGCAATTATGGCAGAAGCTTTTGCTTTTCTTTTGTAAAGTTGGTCTTTAAAAAAAACTAACTAACATAGAAGGTTCGGCACTTTGGCTGGCCTTGTTGCTGTTGCAAGCGCTTTATACATAAAGTGGTATGAACATGACTAAGATTCAGAGGATTTGCTTGTTAATAGGCGTTGCACCCTTTTTTTTTTTTTTATCTCATCTGTGTGTATTCACATTTGAATGAGCTACTTTGCTGTTTTTACATTGTACAGAGGTGTTCAACCTTAGTTTGGACCAAGATGTACTTTTGAAGTTGCCAGTTTGCCAAGATCTACTTGTTCAATCTCAGCATCACAAATTTACTGTGAATTAGATTAACAAAGACCTTAACAAACCCCTACTGTGAGTTGTGATAGGTCAATCTGCATATGTATGTATGTATCTTATCTCAGCTGTATAGCTTGAACTCCACACTCGTTGCTCTTTGAATTCAGAAACCTTCTTGGATGAGAAGCGAAACGTCTTACGAATAAAGTCCAGTTGTTTTTGTCTTGAACTTTTTTGAATTCACAAACTTATCCTTACGCTCTAGTCCTGGATAAACCATGGGACATATTAGGTGCATCTCCCCAGTCCTTACTTCCACAAAGACTAGCACAACAATCAGAATATAGCATGCTACCAGTTTCAATGACTTCAGTAAAGAGTGGTGACCGTTACAACTAAACAGTCTACTTAACTAGTAACTAGGAGCTGAGATGATGTTGAGCAGGGCTGTTCAACAAAACTGCTCAGGGGGGCCACAGTTTCTGAAAGCCATTAGCTCGGGGGCTGGACATCCAGTGATTTTTTTTTTTTTTAATTGAAGTGAGCCAGATTGAAGTCACAGGCCCACGGGGCTGGCAGTTATATAGCCCTGGTGTAGAAGTAAGGCAGCTGACCTGGGACCAGAAAGTCACAGGTTCAACTCCCCACTATGCCCACAAGTCGTGGTGTCTCTGAGCAAGACATCCAATCCCTAATTGCTCCCCGGGTGCTTACATAGCTGCCCACTGCACCACCTGTATGTATCCCAGGTGTGATGAGTTAAATGCAGAGAACTGTCATCGTTGTATTGGAACATACAATGGTGACAACACATAGCACTTTTAAACCACTTAGACTTGCATATCAAAGAAAAATAAAACTTAAGACCTAACATACTACTAACCTAACCCTTGACAAAAAATTTGAAAACTACCAGTTGTTCTCCAAAAATAGGCCTCTATCCCTTCCTCTTTCAAATCAGGTCTCTCTTGTAAATGAGTCCTCGAGGCTCAATGGGATCTACCTGTCTAAATAAAGGTTGAATGAATTAGTTCTGACTCTTTACAAATGGTGGCATACAAATGTGCAGATTCACTGATCTGTTTACAAATCTCAATCAGTGACATGATTTTTTTCAAATGCTAAACAAATCAGAATGTCTAAACTTGAACCAAACGTAGGCAGCTGTCTCTCTGTGAGAGCACATGGCGGGGTGTCATCTGTATGTATGGTAGTATATACGGTTCAGTCGCTCAGTGGTCTGTACTGCAGGCTTAAACGGGCCAATCACAGGCTCCTATCGAGTTCATCACCTAACCAGATACAAACATGCACGGCCAATTTAGGCAGAAAAAAAACCAATAGCACATTCAAACGACTAAATAAATACATTAAACCAAGAGTCATACACACACTGCATAGGTGTACACTGTAGCCTGGCCTGATACTTAATATGAAGACAACAAATGGACTCAAGTGGGACAAGTCTAAGAGAGGGAACTCTTTATGCAAGCCATATGAAATTAAATGTTTGCCTTAGACCTTGACAGAGGAAGCCAGGTTCTCATAGGCAGGGCAGTCTGAGTCTTGCATGGTGTAGGCAAGTCACCAGATGGTCATCAGCCCATGTGGATCTGTACGTGGACTTGATGGTTTTCATTTGAGAGAAACAGACTCACAAGAATGTTGATCTAAAAATGCTGTGTGTGCACATTTTCTGAGGTTGGGATGCTTTTCCTCTGACAGCACCTTCCTAGACTCTCCTTTCATGGCACAGGTTGCTCTGGATTTGGTCTCAATGTCATTTTGCACGGTCAGAATCTCATTTTCAGCAGCAAAGCTGTCCAGGTGAAACAGTGACATTCATTTGAGCACAATGTCATCCACATCAGTACTTCCAAACAGATAACACATGTAGTTGGAAATGGGCTCAGTGGATGCAAAGTCAGTAAATCATATCTCATATGTTGTTAAGATGCTCTGGGCCTGATCATAATATGGGACAATGTTGAGTTATGTGATAAATTATAATAATTTATAATGCAGCATTAGGCCTGATACCCATCCATTTTCACACCTATCAGGACTTTCATCCATGTGACCAGAGTGGCCCATCTGTGAGTCAGACTAACAAAGACCCTAACAAACCTATTGTGAGGAGTGATAGGGCAATCTGCATATGTATCTAGCTCCCTCAGCTTTATAACTCGAACCCCACGCTCTCTGTTCCCTCGGATGAGAAGCGAAACATCTTCTGTTACAAAATAAAGTCCAGTTGTTTTTCTCTTTAACTTTTTTTTAATTTAAAACTGTTTTTTTTTTTTAAATTAACAGTATCATGTCTGCTGCTGTAAAATCACACGCGCCGTTTATTCATTCTGCCTAAAACTGTTTGCGAGGGTCTGTTTGAACGCTGCAGACGGATGAGTCTGCAGTTCAGTTCGGTTTTTCTTCGTGCCGGTTCTGTTCAAACGACGCAACATCCACGTGCTGCTTTTTACTAATCGCATGAGCAGAGTTTCGCACATAAACATTCTGCACTTGTCCCGGTTTAAAACGATACCGTAATCGTTCCGTGCAAGTGCGTGTTGAACAGAAAGACCCATACCGAGTATTTTTGATTCAAATATACAAACCATTACACCCCCTTGTATTTACTTTTGACATGGTGTCATGCGTGAGACGTATTGCAGAAGGATGTGCGAGTGTCTGGGTAATGAAGGCGGGAAGAAAAGAGCTGCCTCTCAAACAGACCTGCATGTTGCTGCATTTGCCTCAAGTCAATCTGCTGTTTCCTCTGATTGGGTTATTGCTCCCCTGACCCGACTGAGCGCTTACAGCAGCAGAAGAACCTGGTATTAAGTGTTGCAGGGACTGAATGCTCATCACAAGGGGTCTGATATTATGAAACCCCACAGTAGCATTTTGATCTTTGGTAGCACGTGTGTGTGTTTGCAGCTGTGTGTGTAGAAGCATCCTGCAACAGCTGCCTATGGCAGAGTACATGGATATGAAAAGCATTTTGAGTGAAATTATTCAACTATTTGTTGCAAAGCTCTGTTTGTGACTCGATGCTTGTCCAGAAGAGTCCACTTTTGTTTGCGGACGGTTGTAAGGATTAAGAGGAGTTTTGTTTTTATTGCAGTGTTTGTGTGTGTGTTGTTGGCGAGTGTCGTGTCTTTGCTCGCACGGAGCTGAATCACCTACATTAGTGATTTCATAACGAAGGAACGCAGTCCACCTTTTCATCCCAGCTCTAAAACGGCTTTTTATTTTTTATTTAACTCATGGCACTTTCACTGCTCCGCTGTTACAGATGTGATCTTGTGCAATTACAAGCTCACGTTTTGCATGTGTGTGTTTACGCGCATGCTTCCTTCTTCATGCACGTGCAGTGTGGGTGTTTTGTAAGACTCACAATTGCTACAGCAGGGCAGCCTTCCTGTATCTTACACCAGGCCTCTGTGTTCTTTGGTGCACAAATCTAACCCATTTGGCTCCGACTCGTGCCTGCCTCCCCCTTCTGTCTCTTTCTTAGTCTAAATATGAAGCAATATTTCTGTCGTAAATGCTGTTGCAGCATCAGTGTTTAGTGTCACAACACAAACTGGACTTGTGCTTAAGATCTGTGTTATGGCTGGAAGCCTCACCCTCAAACCCAGTGGCCCCAGCAGAGAGCCTGTGGACATGTGATTCTTGGCATGTTTTGATCTCATGCAGGTCACTTAGTTTATAAATACTGCTCAGAGATCTGGTTTAGGATTTTGTTTTTGTGGTCCAAAGACAATGTGTGTGGTTTTGAAATGAGTTTTTCTGTCTATATTTTGCATCAGAGGCCCCCCCTTCCTTCTCTAAACAGATCGTCTTTTGTTAGGTTTAGTATTATTTGGAGGATTTGAACTCCGCTGTAAGCGAAGTCCAGTTTGATTTACCTGCAACTTAGTCAGCGTTGTTAACGTTTCCTGCATCGTATTACATGTAGCAATAAAAAGACCAGCTTTTTATGAAGGATTGCTTACTGCCTGCCACA